AAAGGGATACATGCACTGACATTTTCAAGTTGGTTCTGTCTCACTGAAAAATCCCTAATTTTCCTTTTGATATGACATAAGACTGGTTTATGCTTCTGTGCTGCATGTTACTTTCTGGAGAAGTATTAGAATCTTAGAAGTGTAGTATTCAGTTTGTCATCTCCAAATCTGCCCAGTAAATATCAGTTTGTTCAAATTATTACTTGTAGAAAGGTTGTGCAGTCCTTAGAATCATTTAGACCAATATCACCCTAGTGACTTTGTGTTTTACTTATATGATATTCGAGTCATTATGTTCTGTAGTAGTAATTAAGAGTATTTTCTGCACCATGCCTTTGCATCTGTGCATTCCTCATATTAGAAGCAAAGTTTCAAAGTCTTGACTGCTCTTAAATTTGATGTAATTTTGCAGGTGGCCAGTTTCCCCTTTGACGACCATAATTGCCCGCCTGTTCAACTCATCATCTCATTTTGTCATAGTGCATATTCATGGTTGAAGGAGGATATTGAGAATGTTGTGGTTGTGCACTGCAAGGCCGGAATGGCTAGGACTGGGTTGATGATATCTAGCCTTCTTCTCTACTTGAAGGTAAAATTTCCAGATCCTACATAAGTTTTCTGTGGCATACATATATTCCTAGTACATTGTTTGTCAGTAAAATTTATCTGTTGAAAGTTGTTTTGCCTTGAATTTTACAGCAGAACTTTGCTATATTAAGTTATCTGGTTTCATTTTCTTACAGTTCTTTCCCACGGCTGAGGAGTCTATTGATTACTACAATCAAAAAAGGTGTTTTGATGGAAAGGCTCTTGTTCTTCCTAGTCAGATTGTGAGTCTAATTTGAGTCTGCTTCAATCCTTCTTCCAATTCTTTCTTGCGATGTGGAGGGTGCATCCTTCTTACTATGAACTTTTTCATGACAGAGGTATGTCAAATACTTTGAACGTATCTTAACCTACTTCAATGGAGAAAACCAGCCTGGGCGCAGGTAATTGGCTCTATATTGTGCTCTAAAAGATGTTTAGGGCAACAATTTTTATGTTGCACAGTTATTCATAATTAATAAATCTGGCTATGTAGTGACTGAATGTTGACACGCTTGCTTAGCTACAAATCAGGTTTAGTGGGTATAATATTTTTTGGAATGCATTACACAGGTGCATGCTTAGAGGATTCCGGCTTCACAGATGTCCTTATTGGGTCAGGCCAGCTATCACTGTATCTGATCACAGTGGTAATCATCATCCTTTCTGTCCTATGCAGTCCTATTTATGCTTATCTGTCACCTGTTTGTATTTTGTACATTTAATTATTTTTCGTTTTAGAATGTTTCCCCCTGATTATCCTATTTGATTTTAATCAGGGTCAACTTATTAATTTCCTCAAGTAAAATTGTAGCACCGCTGTGCAAATTCTCTTTCCCATGTTTTTACATGCCTCTGCATCACTGTGGTGCCTGGGAGTTGCCTCTCCTATTATAATGTGCTTTAAAAAGTTTTTTTTTTTATTTTAATTTTTGACCTGTTACCAGGTTTAAGGTTCTACACTTCGACTGCCATTTTTCATTTGACTTTGTTGCATTTATTTAGTTGCCTGATAACTCCAATTAGCCACAATTTCACCAATCCTTTTGCTGTTATTTCTTGGATTATTGTACCATATGCTATTTGGTTTTCCATTCCACATTGATGGACTACCGTTCTTGTTTCCTGCCTTATATTTGATAACACACTTTCAGTAGTTTGTCAGAACGTGTATGCTACTTCTGGTGTTTAAATTGATTTATGCATTATCTTCAGGAGTGCTGTTCTCGACAAGGAAACATCCAAGAACGAAAGATCTTGCGGTAGGTCTTTATGAAACTTAATGGCCCCAATTTCCACCAAAAAAGTTTGAAAGAAAAAGTTTATAGATGAACCATATTTTAGTTACACTAAAGTTCACTAATTTTCAAGTGAAAGTTGAAGTGTAACTGGTTAGAGAAGTGTTGCATATTGCTTAACCAATCTGCTATTTAGATGGGGTTTTAGTTTTGGAGTTTGAGAGGCCTAGAGGCAGTAAATTTTATGTGACTACAGAATATAGACGAGGACTCTGTTTTTCTCTTTAAGAAATTGATACCTAGTCATGCGAGATGCTACGATTATAATTATCGTATTTAGATGTTTTTCTATGAGTAATTCATAAATATGCCTAGATATGATAAACTATCAGGTACATACTGAAAATTTTACCAGCATAGTGTTATATAGTAGGAAGTTTAGTAGTTTTGACCAGAATACTGTTATGTAGTAGGAAGATTAGTAGTTATCGTCTTGCCAGTTGTCACCCCTGCTGTCCAACATCCTCAAATAAGAAAATGAAAAGTGAGTAGTTGTCAAAGAATTGATTGTGTTAAAATACACTTAAAAGAAATATAAAAGATTGACAGCGAGAATAAAAATGCAGAGAGCAAACATGACATAAAATGGGGTCACTTCGTGGAAAATGTGACTGAATTGAGAATGTATCGTTGGATGTAGATAAACAGAAGAATATTTAGGGGATCCACAATTTTGTTAAACCTATAGAAGTAATGGAAGACTAAACTGTTAGTTGATGGTTATAGTATCTTGCAAGCATTTAAGTCAGAGCCAACTGACATTTTGAGTGTGGAGGCTGTCAGTGTACCTGTATGCATACGGATAATTCTTTTATGGCTGCATCTGTGAACCTATAATACAGTATATTGGTGCTGCTTGTGCTTTTTACTGGAAAATTTCTCATTCCAAGTATAAGCATTTTTTGTTCTGGGTTTATCTGCAGCCTGAAGAATATTGGTTTAGTGCACCAAAGAAAGGCATAATGGTGTTTGCCCTTCCTGGGGAGCCTGGTCTGACGGAATTGGCTGGGGACTTCAAAATTCATTTCCATGACCGACAAGGAGACTTTTATTGGTATCGACTATTATCCCTGTGATCTTTTGGAATAACAACCAACCTTCTCTACCTGCTTGCTTGTAAACATGAATACAAAAGGTGTCGGGGGAGGGGGGAGGGTGGTGGGTGAAACGCTTCCATCCTTTGCATGATTATTATTTAAGCTATGAATTTCTTGATGTTTTTGTGCCTCAATTCTTCAGTTGGCTGAATACAACAATGATAGAGAACAGAAAAATACTGAATACAAGTGATCTTGATGGTTTTGACAAGGTAATTATAGTAATTTGAAATGCCACTTATATGATTGATGTTCATTTATGCAATTGAGAGTTGCTATTTGAATGCAGAGATCTCCTCCTCCTCCTTCTTCTCTTTTTTTAATGTTCATTCCTATACTTTTCTACACAATGAGTTTTGATATTTGGAATCTGCACAGAGAAAATTGCCATCCCCTGGATTTCAAGTTGAAGTTGTGCTTGTGGACTATGATGCTGCCGTTCCTCCAACACGCCATTCAGAAACTGCTAATGACAAAACTGTTGAAAGTTCTGGTGCAGATACGGCTTCAGAACCCAGTCCTGTTGCAGTTCATGAGGCTGCAGTTGTCGAAAGTTCAGATAAAAATTCTGGAAGTAATGAAAAGGATGATGTGTTTTCCGACAGTGAGGCTGAGGAAACAGGCTCTTCAAGGAGGGGGGAAGTGAGTGGTGCCCCTGAATCCAGAAAAAGTGTGGATAAAAATATTGATGGCTCTGACCAAAAAACAAGTTTGGATCAAAGTAAACATTTGACACGTGAAACTGAGCGTTTGTCTTTAGGAAGCACAGGTTCTGTACAGAATGAGCCAAGAAAGGATGCCGTTAAAGGATCTATACCCAATCCTGAAGTTACCAGCTCAACGGCAAATGTAAGTCAATTCAAAGCAATGGCTGCTGATGCCTCTGTTTTCACATTTGGAGATGAAGAGGATTATGAAAGTGAATAATTAAGATATGTGTGTATCACAGAAGAAGATATCCTGTACATAATTATCCTAGTGAATGGTGGGGTACCCAAGTCCATGGCAACAGGAAGGCCTCTGTTCAATTCTATTTATTTCATTTAAGATGTGGTTATGGTTCTGAAACGATTTATCGCGTTCTTTGGGTCTGGCTTGATGCAATGATTGCTCTTAGTTACTGTAAGTTCTTGAATTATGTCCGTATTCCTTGGGATGTGATCAAACAAGTTCCTTCTGACACGAGGTTCTCTATCTTGCACTCTCTTGTCTTTATGCACTTTTACCTGATGGCGGTTGCACTACTGCTTGAGCAAAAGAACATCAGCTGCACTACCTTCTACCCGTGAGAAGCGGAAATTTTGAATTCAACCAAGAGGGTCTACCTATGGATGAGTCGATGTTTCGTGGCTGGCTCAGAAATTAAAATACAGTACTGTTAGTTACATGAAAGCCACGCATTTCCTCTGTAGCTTGGCATCCAGCCATTTTCTGCGTTGGCTCCACGTTGGCTAGAGGCCTTTTCTACCATTATTGACTCGAGCTCAAACCGGACCTACTAGGGAAAGATTTGGAGTGCCTTTTTTTTTTTTACATGAAGTCTTTTTGTAAGGGAAGATTTCATTTCCACCTGCGCTAGAACAGTACATGTCATCTATATAATTTTGAAGGAGGAGTTTGCAGTCAAGTCAACCTTAGATATGATAGTTTTGATTTCGTCTTCCAAAAAGAAAAAGTCAACCTCTTATATATAATCGGATATCTCTAGTGTCCAAGTTCAATTGATCTTCTACAAGCCAACTCAATTCTGAAACAGTAACTAATTTTTATCCGTCATGTCTTCTATAGAAAATCCCCTCCTCCTTTTCCATCAAGTATTATTTTGATTTTTAATTTTTCAGATGCACACTAAGGAAAATGAAAAGAATTCATTCAACAGAAGTCGAAGTGGATATAATCCGATTAAAAGCAGGCGCGAACGCGTGTTTTTCTGCTTTTGTTAAAACGCGTCATGCAGCCTTTGCCTCTGCCCCCTAAAGTACACAATGAATCCAAAATACTGCTGCCAACGTGCTACTGCCCCTTCTCGGAAATTAGAATTTACGAAATAACAAAGAAAGTCTTCCACTGGTCTTCTTTTATCTTAATTTGCTTCCACCTTCTCGGATATTATTATTATTGCCTCCTGCGCTCCTGCTCAAATAATTCTAGATATGCATTATATATGTAAGGGAACGATGTTGAAATTCACATAAAATTTTCTTCCCCTTCTCCATAATTATCTTCTTTTGAAGTTGGTACTCTTCTATAATAGCGTCCATGTCGATTTCTGGAATTCAAGGTCAACCCCTGGAGATCACCGGTAATCATTCTTCTCCTTCTTCGTTTACCAGTTCCTTTTCTCTTTTGGACATTGTTGGTTTTTCTGACGAATTCTTTCGGGAATCGGTAATGCACGTTTGCAGTTGTAGGCTGCAGCAAATTGAAGGATACGGAGTGGATTTCAAGACAAGATCCTTACGTTTGCCTGGAATACGCCAGCACTAAATTCCGTACCCGTACCCACACAGGTATGTAATTCTTATTATTTCCTCTTTTCATCTCTGGTTGATTGTTTTTTCAATTACTACTAGTATTCGAGCTTGTAAGAAAACTGTCCATTTTGTTGCCTAACTATTCTATTCTACTGCTGCTTAATTACTCATGTAGACGGTGGAAAAAACCCTACTTTTCAAGAGAAATTCGTCTTCTCCTTGATTGAAGGGCTAAGGGAGATCACTGTTGCTGTTTGGAACAGCAATACCATTACCTATGATGATTTTATCGGCAATGGAAAGTAATAATGTCATTTCTTTAACTTTCTGCCCTTTGTTTTCCCTGTATTCTATTCGTTGTATTAGTTTGAGTATTTTCTTTTTATTCTATACTTTTAGATGATTTATTATTTTTTTTTTCCTATTGTTGTTAATCTATTAGGGTTCAGCTGCAGAAAGTGCTTTCTCAGGGATTTGATGATAGTTCTTGGCCACTCCAAACTAAAACCGGCAGGTATACTCTGCAAAAGATAAAAAGGGAAAATTACCTGATGTATTCATTCTTTTGTAGGTTAATACATACTTGAACATTTAAACATATGGAATACTTGTTTATGTACTTTTATGTATGCCTTATGTATCTTCACACACACGCACACACCATGTATATGTGTGTGTGTAGGGAAAACACCTAATAGTATATTTTCTGCTCCATCTTGCCATTTGGGTATTAATATGTAGAAGAAAGATATTTTGGAAACTGAAACTGCTTTTGGAGTCAACACTTTAGAAGACTAGAAGGTTACATTGTAGTTTTAACTTGATAAAGCTAATTGGAAAACAATTGTCACTACGCTTATGAAAGATATATGGGATTTTAGTAGCTATACACACAGAAACAGAGCTGCAATAGAATCTGAAGGCTTATGGGCAATCATATCCAAGTTACAGATCTCCATAATTTTAAGGTGTATGTTGAAAGAAACAAGAGAAGTTAAAAGTTAAATTTACTATTTGATAGGCCCCTCTTTCAAGTTTTACTTATCTGTTTGAAATGGGGATTGGACTTTGCAGTTTGACATTGCATTGTGTGTCTTGCCAATAGATTTTAGATCTTTGAGGGGAGGGGTATGGGTGGGTGTTGAAGCATGTTATTTGGACATTTGGAGAACTTCCACATTTTCTTTTAATTAAAATCTTTAAGTACACCGTTGGATCAAAAAATCAGTAAAGAGATTGATGGTTTTAGGATACTGGTGAAAACAATAAAACAAGCTAGCATTTTTATGTCTATCGTCATTTTAAGTCAGTCATACATGTGCCACGGATTGCTAGATGTTGTATAATGCTGCTTATATCAAAGAAGGGGATCTTTAGACTTCTAAATGCTGTTACTGTCGCAGGCATGCTGGAGAAGTTCGGCTGATTATGCACTATGCAAATGCTAATGTAAGTGTCTTATCTCGTAAATTTCCACATATTGTTAATGGTAGAATAATACATATCAAACTCTGCATTAAAGAGGCTAATGGTTCTTTTTTTCTACTGTTGTCTTTTCAAAAGAAGCCTGCAACAAGTTATGCTCCATCCGCTCCACCTTATGTGGCACCACCAATACCCCAAAGTTCTTTGTATGCTGCTCCCCCCCCATCTGTTGGGTCTTATCTACCTCCAACAACCTATCCTGCTCCACCTCCTCCCTATTCACCGTATCCTCCTAATCCTGCAGCATACGTGCCAGCACCATATTATCCTCCTGCTCAAGCTGCTTATCCTGCAGCTTATGGAGCACCTTCAGCTTATCCTCCACCGCCATATCCACCTCCACCTTATGATCCATCTCATTACCATACAGGTAATTTTTATTACTGCAAGTGTTTATTTTCCTAAAATATAATATGTTTTCACTTGAACTAATTTGAATGTTTAATTTCTGTCAGGTCCATTCCCTGGAATCTATCCTCCACCACCATACTGAGATAAAGCTCGCTATCGGTATTAGTGGAGAGAGCACGTCTACATTTTAGTGACAGTTATCTTTGTAACTGGGCTTGGTAGTTTTATTATCTGACATCAGGAACAATTAACCCTTTTACTAACAGCAATTCTTATGTGGTTGGAAACTGTTTATATGGTGCTTAGAACAGAAGAAGGCATGCTTTTTTTTTTCCTATTGTTTGTCTGCCTACATAAAGATGTGAAATTGTATGTAATCTTTTGTTTCCCTTTGCTTTGGGGGAGGTGATTGAAGCATCATATGGATCATCTGCACCCAGGACAAATGAAATTTGAAGCAGCCAGTTGCTTAATTTCTCGTTTCTCTCTGTTTTTTCTTTTCTTCTTAATTCGTAATCACCGAATTTGACAATCATTGCCTTCTCATCAAAATTGCTTGTCATTCTTTTGAAAGCTTAGCCATTATAGACTCTCGAGCTGAACTAACTATTGCTGTTATTCCTCAAATTTCAAATTTTTTTGGGGGTGGGGGTGTTGCGGGGGTGGGGAAGCTTTAAACATGATCCCCTGTTGAGATTTTATTTTTCAATTGATGAAATGGCTTCCAAACAAGACGTTTCCTTGATGCACAGTTGAGTTATAAAATCCCATGGAAAATGTCCATTAGTTGTTCACGGGAACCTCGCCGGAGGGGCAACTTCAATCATTCCTGGTCTTTGTAACACGATGTCATGATCTTAGAATACAGCTGGATGTTAGCGATCCATTTTTGGCCAAAAGAGCCAATTGCCACTTGCACCACATTTGCGGAAAAAGTCAAACCGTAGGGGATCAAAATTGTAATAATAATATATGTTGTACCTGTAACTTCTCGTTTTATGCTAATTTTTGTCCGAGATGACCTCCTCCTCTTTGTGTGTGTGTGTGTGTGTGTGTTTTTTTTTCCTTGCGTGTGTCGTGTCCGAGATTCTGTTGCTGCAGAAGACTTATCAATGTATCAATAGTAACGAAAATGAAAGTTGGACATCCTAATGCAGTCATTATTATTAGTGGATCAATGCGCTGAAGGATACACTAGAGAAAAGTGGCTGCAATTAGTGCATGTGAAGATGAATCAGGAATCAAGAAATGAAGCATGTACAAGTCATTTCAAATTGACTAATGCGAAATCATCCGATGAATAGACCTTTCAACAGTATACCACTTATGCCTTTTGACCGTCTGCGAGAGATTTTGACACATGAAGCTAGCTAGCATTTGAGATTGCTTTCGGTGTTCCACTTTCGCTCCCCGTGCTTTGGTTTCTTTTTGGAGCAAGTGCGCCCCCTTCCCCTCTTATGTGTCAAGGCCATGGTCCTCGTCGAATTCAGGCAGGTAGAGGAGGGTCGTGTGCTACATTACATACATGTAATATGGCTCCATGGCAGTCACAGAACACAAAAATCATGAGAAAAGAAAAAAAAAAAACAGAAAAAAATTCAAACTCCCCGTGAACTATACAGTGAGGACACAAATGCTACCATCTGTCAATGATCGTCGCTTGACAGCTACCCAAGAATTGGTGTTCGTGCTGCACATGTACCTTTTTCCTCTTGCTCAAACTGAATACTCTCTGAATCCTACACAGCGAAGAATACCATCTGCTACTGTAGAATCAATCAGTAATGTGGTGCGGACAACCCATTATAGAATCATTTGCGCTCTTAAGGTGCACGTACGTGGCCGTTGAACAAAACATTTCTTGCGTTATTTTTATTTTTTGTGTTTCTTCTGTCCCCCTTTTTTTTTTTTTCTTCTTCCCCTGTGGCCTGTGGGCGGAGGCATGATTTTATTGGGTCAATGATGGGGGACAATCCTATAAAGGGTGGCGTATGCTTCTGTTCGGTTTGACAAATCTTTGGAAGTGGAGGAGAAATGATTGATGATTCATTTCGAAAAGTCGATTTATTGTCTGGCATTTTTGAGTGAGTTAAATTCAAAAAACGAAAAAGGGTGGTGGGCCAATTTGACTTTGGCAGTCGGCAGAGAGGCATGATGCAAAAGCTGGGCTGGTGTTTTGTGGGTGAACTTGGTGGTGCTGTTTGGTAGTGCTGAATGCCGATAGGAGTATTATGATGCATTGAAGCTGATGAATTAGCGCCTTAATAACTGTACTAACTATCTAATCTTGTTTGATAATTAGTTGGTTTGTGGCTGGCCGTCACCTCCACCCCCCATTTTTTACCCCACTTCTCATTTGTCGTCTTTGTGAACAAATTAGAACAATGAGCAATCTGATGCATTATTTGATGTTTCTCACCAAAAAAAAAATAAAAATAAAAGCAGAAACGAGCAATCTAATACGCGGAGAGGAAAACCCAATCAATAATACTATGTCTCCAGAAATTTGATTTGGATACTAGTAGCATGTTCTGTTGCAGGATGACGGCCGAAGATTGGTTCTTGAAATAAAACCAACTCCACCACCCGATACATTAGACTTGTACCTACTTCTGCAACCAAAGAAGTCCTGCCCAGAAAAAACAAAAAAAAGCTACGAGGAAACAATTGAATCAGAGAGATGTTCGCTAGGCGGCATTTTTTTTTTCTTTCTCCCAATTCTACTTCATCATGCTGGTTGATTTACGAGTAAAAAAAATGATGTTATGAAACGAGTAGTAAGCTTGTATTGCACAGGAGCAAAACAAACTTGATCATGAAATGAAATGGCGACGCTGGACTCTAGCAAAGAGCCAAAGCCTAAGCTTAGAACAATGAGCGGAGTGTATGATTGGTGCTCCAGAACACGGATTAATTTTAGGTTTGTAGGTGAGACATCGTCCTATTTTACAGGATTTATGTTGGAAATCCGATTATCAGAACTATTTACCAAAATGAATCTACTGGTGGCAATACCAATAAAGAAGGACCCAGCTTTCACAAACAGTTCTGCAAAATCTTTGCGAAATGACAAAAGATACAGCGGCATGCAATGGAGAAAGCTACTTTAATATCCCGGCTAAGTCTAACCCTTGCGTCCTATACTCCTATTCCTCCCCCGTCTTTCTACGCTGCCGTTGGGGTGGGTACGGTCGGGTACTCACCCTGTGCACAATTCGGCTAACGTGTTGTGTGTGTCACTCGCATCTCACGGTCAGTTTTTTTTTTAATCATTATTCATCCTACGTATCAATAGGTATTCGATTATAGAATATTTGTTAAGATAGGGTCGAATCAACGAATATCCGTTCTGTTTATCATTTATTTTTAAAAAAATAATTTATAATAATTTAATTTTATATTTTACATATTCATCTAAGATTTAATAAAGAATTTTTCACAAAAAAGTCTTCCACCAAAAAAAAAATCATGCAAAGAGAATTCAATAAAAAGGAACCAAAATTAAAAGAATTCGAAATTAATAAAAGTTTAAAATAAGTAGCAACTTTTTTTAAAATATATATTCCATATTAATTAAATTCTTTTCTAAAAAACATAAGATCGTGATCTCTATAAATGAATCTTTTAAACAAAGTATAGTCTCTCGTATTTGTAATATAATTTTATCCAATAAAATTAGTTATTTAGTTCTAAAAATATTATTTTATAGTATGTATATAAAAATAAATATATATATGCAGGATGCGTTGAATAACAGCAAATTTTAATTATGTGATTTTAACTCGTCCCACGTGCAAGCGAGTGCCCTATCATCTTTTGATCAGATTAAATAATACGAATAGAGTATTCTATTTCTTGAATCTGATTGGATTGGATAGTATATAATGAGTTTTTGAGTGTATTTTTGGCCACCCCTATATGTTTTGTACTTGATCCCTGATTCCTCGAACCCACCCAAGTCCAGGCCAAGCCAGTTCACGGTCCAGCCTATGGCCTACTACCTTTTTCCTTTTAATTTCCCCCCCGTACATTCTACCCCATGATACTACTACCATACATCGATAATTGCTGGTTAAATGACAAGAAACTTTTAATACTCTTAAACTAGTATTGCAACCCGTGTTATGCATGAATTTATGTTTAATATAATATTAATAATAAGTGAATTATTTATATTAGTTACATGAAAAAAGGTGAAAAAAATCAAAAGAGTTTTATTTTAGTATATAATTTATATTGTATTTATGTACCTTATCTAAAACCTCAACGTATATTAAAAAATATGGGCAAAGGTCACAAAAATATATTAAAAAATACTAAAAACACATCAAATATAAAATTGTTACCCCTTTCTTCCATGTTCTCTTTTTTTGCATCACTTCCCGTTAACATTTCCTTACTTTTCATTAACCTTGTTCTCACCTTTCTAGCCCAAACTTTCTACATTCTTCCTCCAATCCGTTTCTTTCCTACAAACTCTACATTTCTTTCACTCTACCCTGTTTTTATTAAATCATGCGATTTTTTATCCAATTTCGCAACCTATTTACCTCATATTATGTTACTCTTCATATATAGTTGTAAATAATAGCCATTTTTTCAACTTGCTCTTCAACAAATGAGTATGGGTATGCAATTTTATTAACTTTAAATGGGTAACCCAATAAAAATCATTAATTAATGGCTATTAAATGGATAGATTGGAATTATCTATTTAGATCTAATTAAATTAGACGTAGATTCAAATTCATTAGTAAACAAATTTAAATCACTACAAATTCAATAATTATATTCTACTTTTTGCAAAAGCATATTTAACGTTCTTTTCCTACTCTTTAATTTTTACTTTTCTAATTTTTGTTAAATTTTATCGTACTTCCGCCCCTCCCTTCCATCAAAGTTTTAATTAATTCATTAAGTGTAAATTGATCTCTTGCATTCACATCTAAATCATTTTGAGATTCTTGTAGAGTGACAAAATTAAAACTTCTTATGATCACCACTATTGATTATTTTGTGTAATTTTTTTTGGTAAAAAAATATTTATTAATGCAATGTGTTCTTATTTTTGTTGATTACAATGGTATCTTATTTTGTTGCTCAAAGAATATGGGAGAAAAAATAAATAAAATTTTGTAGTGGATTATAAATGAGTAAGATAACCAAAATCATGTAAAACTATATCCATTTAACCCACATAAATCATCAATTTTGATAGTTTCATCACAACCCACAACTACAGCTCATTTGACTTTATTTTCTCTAACCCTATATTCCTTTAACTATTTAGGATTCATGACCTTATTTTTATCCTTCTTGGCCCTGTACTCCAATCTTTCTATTCCCTTTATCATTTAGGATTTATTACCTCGCTTTTCAATTTTTTCTTCTTTCAAATAAAGATTAAAATTATAGTCATGAAGGTAAAATAATTGGGTATAATTTTGATGAAATACTACTATTTTTATGACAATCACTCAA